TGTGTGTGTGTGTGTGTGTGTGTGTGTGTGTAAGGGTGAACTAAAGAGAAGGAGGGGAGAAAGCTGCGATATCCTGAAACACGATCTCTGAATGTCTGTATGAGTTAGGCAGAAAATGCACCTTTTGAGAAGCAGTTGTGAGCAAGCGGTGTTGTTTTACTTGTCGAAATTCTGCCACATCTTCAAGAGAGGCTCATATTTGTTTGACTTGTCATGTCAAGGAAAGATTACGACAGCAGGATAAGTCGATCTCAGGTTTCGCTTGTTTATGAATTACAGAGCTCGAAAGCGTTCAGGACATGTAGTAGGTTATTCTGTTTATAGCACCTGAAGTGTTACGATAAGCATGTACCTCACAAACGGGAAAGACGATACCAGCTCTGCTGCGCTGTGGCATTCACAACACCGACGTGCATATTTTCTTCTTGGCTTTTCTGTCTTATTTAAAGCATTACTTTTTTTTTGCCTGTCATGGCGTCCCTAACGTTGCTTTTGGTATGTGAGCTCATTGTTCCCCATGGGTTGTGCTTTGCTGCCTTGTGACCTAAAAGTAGTGGTACTGCATTTTATTATGAGTATTGAAGTTGTCTTAGTTTTCTTTATGTATTTCTTGTTATGATTTGAACTGTTATTGGAACTAGTCAAGAAACTTTCTATTTATATGTTTACCTAGCAACACGTATAATATCATACTCTGCAATTTTAATTTAATTTAAGGAGAACTTGTCATCAAAATTAACATCTGACTGCAAAGGATCCTTTTCATTGAAAGGGAATATATTTGCTTAAATTCATAAACGCACCATATTATTTGTCTAGTTTATTTTTAGATCGTCACTCGAAAAGACCATCAAATGTCCAGATCAGGAGATAGAGCTTGAAACGATCAGATAAGAGAAAACTGTTAGGCGGGATTGGGTCTGGTTGTGTGAAACAAATTTTCCCTCCGCTCTCGAAATGGGCAAGGCGGCTGTGAGTATCACTACGCGCACGAGGAATCATGACAAGACAGGCCTTATCTACGAACAGATCTCAGAAGATCATCTCTGTTCTACCTTGTTTATTCCCGGCCTTCTCCGCTCGACCATGCCGGGGGGGAGGTATTTTCTAACAGTTTTCGACAAACGTGAATGGCGCGTCAGGCTCAACTCATTTTTCACCGCTCCGAGGGGCACTCGCCGCTTCGCTGAAAACAATGCGTAACAATTAGACACCCGGGTTCTGACGACATAACTTAACAGCTGCCTCCCCGCGCCTGCACCGATTTGCCACTTTGGCAAGAATTAGTGTCTCCAAGAAACGCATCCCATACTTTCCTGGCACTTCCGTTATGTATGATTTTTAAGTAGTCCGGATAAACATTGAGACTCGGCTCTTGGGAATTTCAAGTCGTTCTGGTAAAAGTTAAGGATCAGAGTGTTGTAGTAGTGTGATAAATGATCTCATTATAAGGAGGCTAAATGTTCTATTTCGTCTTAAAACTCTGATTTTTTTCGGAGAGGATTTTTAGAAATTCTGGCTATCTGATACTTGTTGAGTTCCCTCGCAGACGAATGTGACACCCAGGCGACATGTTTTTAACAATTGCTTTCTATTGAAATGAACGTTACAAGGTAACGCATCTTTTTAAAGCGTATTACAAACACAGGAGTGTGTGTGTGTGTGTGTG